AGTTCATTTTCTGGAATGAATAAAAGAAAAAAGGCGATTATTTTAATAGAGCTGGCGAAAATACATGAAAGCATAAAATCTTCGATAAAACGAAGAATTAAAATCCCACAGGTATTCGTGAGCCTGAATAAGCTCGATCAATCTCGATTCTGTAAAAGTATTAATCCTCTGACTATCCGCCATGATGATGAACTATTTTCAATGTTGTCACTGTATGACATGGCATAAAGGCGTTTGTTGATTGGATGCGCGTTTGCAACCGTCGCGAGTAGAACAAACTTTTTGTTTCTAGTTGCGATTGCAGTCGAACCGGTTTTCGAGGGGGGATTACTAGTTAACGGGAACAGCCATCGCGGTTGCAGTCGCCTGCGCGGCTGGAAATCGCATAGTGTGACCAGGGCTTTAGAAATAGTTCTAGCTACATATGCATAGTAAAAGAGCAGTCATTTTTGCTCAACAAAATATTTCATTGGTCTGCAATATTGTAAAAAACGAAGTTAATGAACAAAAACAATTATAGTAAATTTTATTTATTTATTTATTTTCCTGTTTGCTCTTATTTGAGAAAGAAAAAAAAAGAATTAACGTTTACCAATCGTGATCAAATCACTGGGTATCAGATAGTTTCTGTGAATGGTTTACTACGACAATAATGCAACACAGCATTTCAGTCTTTCCATGAACACTTCCATGACCTCTTAATGCTGAACTTGCTTCTATTTCGTGAACTTCCTTGTTTTTCATATCGCATCTCACCGCTTAAATCATGATTTTTAACCACTGCCAAACTCGATCTTTACTAGCATGAAGAATTTGAAGAAATATTTTTTTACAAGAAGTTTGAATTTCTTGTTTTTTTCCGTTTTTGCAACTTATAACGTAATTTTTGATACTGGTCGCTTTATTGGAATTGCTTGGCTACTTCTTTTATTGGCATTCACATACTTCGTAATGAATGCATCCTGTGTAACATGAGAACCATAGAAATTAGCATGGAAATTAGCGATATCTTACATTTTCAATTGAGCACATCTGTACATTTTTCCATTACGCTCACGTCGGTGGAGCTTGAGGGTGTCAGCAAGTTTTTCTTCCATTTTTCTGAAATCTGTCTTCCATTGTAGGTGCCAAATAGTGTTGTTCAACACAATCAAATAAGATAATACTTTTCTGCTAACAGAACGCCAGTTGATATATATAGCAAAGTGTACAGAAATGGCTATTTTATTATATGTAAAGTACTGTACATGGTCAAATACAGAAATTAACAAATAAAAAACTTACAAATAGGATTCGCCACATTGCGTGAGAGGCATAAAGCTGCAGATTTCATTTAACATCCCAAAAACATTGTGACTTTTTTTCAAGTTTTTATTAAATATACTTGACTTCTTTTACCCTCTCACTTTTTCGTTATGTCAATAAGACTACAGTATTGCGCATCGAATTACAATTACTATTGGCGTCCCGTTAACAGAAAAATACCTGAAACATCTAGTGCTGTGGATTAGAGGAGTTTGTTTGTGGACGACAGTGCAGTTTCACAATGCATTTAACATAGGAAAAATCAAGTTTAGCATCAATATTTTCAGGTGATATAAAGAAGTTACCGTGCTACGACACCACTTATAGCACGGTAACTCATTAGGTTTTGTCAGATAATAACAATGATTAAAGTTAAATAATGACATAGGCTACAAAATTATATAGAAAATTTTTATGGTTTATATAACTTTTCATGTATTTAAGTAAGGCTTATATAACAAATACAATAAGACAAATAACATTTTACTACCTAAATATACAGAAAAAAAAAACTTGGAGTTAATTTAATTAGCCTTACTTTCAATTTCAAGATGATTATTTATAAAGATTNAACAAAACATTTAAAGAGTTAATTAATTATAGTATTCCGCAATCAATTACTCATTAAAGTAGCCAATTAAATACTTCATTCTAACTGCAGCAATGTATAATTCGAACGACAGAAAAATCGCATATAAATTCCCCATCTAAATATACAGAAAAAAAAAACACAGATTTAATTTAATTAGCCTTACTTTCAATTTCAAGATGATTATTTATAAAGATTTGGATACAGAAATTTCATGTTTTTAAAAAAATATATTATACAAGTAAATAATTCGAATATATTTTTTAAACTGCTATACATTTCATCAGGCAATCGTTAACTGGGAAAACCGAGTATGATAATTCAATTATTCAACTCGACTCTCCACCGTACCTCTCAAGTATATTTTTCTCTTGAACCTGACTGATAAATGGACGACGTTATCAATATAACTAATTAAATCATTCACTTTAATAGGAAACTCAAAGGACGTTAAACATTCAGCGATTCACATTGTTTCAGGTATGCTATTCTGCAAATTTTGTAATTTTAGTTTGAAACTTATTTTTAGCTTTTATTAAAACAAATAATAATGTAGATTTAATAAAACTATTAAAAATTTAATAAATTTCTTAATTTATATTGTCTTTAATGTACAATAATTGTGTGTATGAGTAGCAAATCTTACTTTTAATAAGTGGCAAACAGTGGCGTAGCTACATATTCAGCACCCTGGAGCAAGTAGAATCGGTGTGCCTCCTTGTTCCTCGGAAGAGGTCTGGCGAAATTTATTTTGAACATATAATTTAAAAACATATATCTAATAATTTCGATTTAAAACCTTAATGACAATTTATTTGAGATTCAAGGCATTTCAACGATAAAATATTCAATTTAATAAATCTATATATATATAATTGCTTGTCCTGATTGACTGACTCAATGATTCATCATCGCCCAGAGCAAACCGCTGAATCTAGAGGTGAAATTTGGTACACAGTTAGTTACCCTAACTGTGTAGTCATGAAAACGCATACCAAGAAGGGATTTTTCGAAAATGCTCTCTCTCTCCCCGCGGGGGAGGGAGAGAGAGAGAGCATTAAGGCTTAACCGGAAAAACGGCTTCTACTGTACTATTTTAGATGCGATTTTTTTGTTTTTATCTGCGTTAAAGTTTGATAGTGATCGTTATTACATTTAAAACTTGGGAACCCTTATAAGTTACCTATCGTGCATCGTGAGTAAGCAAATGTTAATATAGTGTCATTTTGTGCAGGGCTGTGCGGTAGATTTTCTAAGTTTGATGCAAGTCTTCGAAATGCCGCCCCTTATATAAATTATTAGTCTTATATAAGCTATAATTCTTATTATTTGGTGTATCTTACCAGGGCCGTGCGGTAGATTTTCTAAGTATGATGAAAGTCTGAAATTCTGCCCATTAAATGGTTTTTATGCCGCCCCTCACGGTGCCGCCTGATGCGGCCGCATCTCCGCATCATAGCACGGCACGGCCCTGATTTTGAGATGTTATTATTTACTGTTATTTATTGATATTACAATTTATTATTTATTATCCTTATATCTGTGAAAATGCGAAATGAAAGAAAATACACTCAAAAATATCGAATAGAATGGCTACGTGACAATAGATATAAAAACTTGTTGCAGAAAATTAAAGGAGAAAATACAAAGTGTTGCTAGAAATATTGTAACTGCATTTCGATAGCAAAAGTAATACGGCAGAAATTTTGTTCTCAATGTTTGATGACCAAAGAAATTTTTTTATTTCTTTTATTTCTTAAACCTTTACTTGATGAAGTTTAGAGATTAAATAAAATATTTGAATCTGAGAATACTGATCCTACGAAGTTGTTACAGGATTTGCTAAATTTAATAGAATCTTGTTGTTTTATGATTGTTATTCCAGGAACAAAAATAATAAAAATGATGTAGTGATTGAAAACCATTTAGCACTCAATCCATATTTGTTTGAAACTAAAACAAACAATTCTGCACTGTTAGAAGAAGAAAAGAAAAATATTCGTAGTCTTCCTTTTGTCTTGTATAAAACAACTTCGGCAAAGATTATCTGACAATATATCAATTTGGAAAACCATGACGTCACTAAGTATTGACCATTGTCTCAACCCAATTAAAAGTGATATAATAAACTTTGCGAAAATGTTTTTCACTGATAATACAGTATTAACTCGCATTGACTTTCAATGGAGGAAAATCCATACAATCCAGTGGAAAGAAACTTCCAGCCCGTTAAACCTGTGTATGGAAGTGTTAGACTAGATGTTACTTGTCGGAGAGATTAGTAAAAACTAGTTAGACTCGCGTAACTGGTTATATAACAAAGAAACAAAGAATACACAAAGATTACACTGTCTTGACTCACGGAAGGTCAGCGCTGAAAAGGGGGGAGTGAAACGAGGTCACCGTCTCTAACGGCTCCCCGAGGGGTCAACAGCGCTACCAACCTTTTATTACGTAACGGAAGAACGTTTACAAAACATCGCGACACAATGCGTTGTACGTAACGATGCCGTATAACATTAGACAATAATTTCGATCGTTGATTCCAACAGGAAGTAGCTCAATACCGAGATGCTGCCAGAGAATATCGCTTTCAAGACTTAGTCAATTTTGTTTTAAAAAGACTTTTATTACCTCACTCAAATGCAGAAGTAGAGCGTTTATTTAGTCAGATGAATATTGTTAAGACCAAACTGGAATAGATTGAATATTACGAGGGTGATTCAAAAAGTAACAACAGCTCTCACGGGTGTCATATTCCTCCTCTTGTTCGAATTTCCCATTAGAGCAGCAGCAGAAGACCACAGCTTTATCGCACAGCGTTAGATGGTGCAAATGTTGCTTCAGACTCTTGCAATATCATTTTGAAAATGGCTGCGCTCACGGAAACGTGGTCAAACGCGGAAGTGCGTAGTGTGATTCGGTCTGAAGGGCAACTCATCAGTAGTAATTCATCGTCAACTTGTTGAGGTGTATGGTGGTAATGTCATGCCATAAAAACAGGCGTGGGTTTGGTACACTGAGTTCGATAAAGGCAGGACAGATGTGAAAACAGCAAACTGAATTGTTATGGTGCTTCAAATGGGAGGTACTGGAACATCCTCCCTATAGCCCCAACCTGGCACCCTGTGATTTCCATCTCTTCGGACCATTCAAGATACATCTGTGTGGCAGGCGATTCCAAACTGACATGGAAGTTCACGGCGCGGCTGAAGGGACTTGACGCAGATTTCTTCTCTGCCGGCATCGATGCTTTGGTATATCGTTGGAATAAATGTTTGGATGAGCATGGTGACTATGTTGAAAAATAAAATGTACTAGTGCCATAGTAATCTGTATCACTATATCTGCCTGTGAAATAAAATTTGTATAGGAGAGCTCTTGAATCACCCTCGTATTTCACTCAGTAGCATATTAACGATTAGATATGGTTTGAAGAGATTAAGGAAATGCAGCTATGGTTACGAATTGCCAGCAAATATCATTGGAAAAATAGGCACTATAAAATCATACCAAAATTTAGAGTCTGAAGCAGAACCATTTTCTGAACACAATGAAGAAATTGAAGAAGTAATGGAATTTAGTGACGGACTTTGTGAATAAAATTAAAAATAGATTAATTAAAGGTTGGTTTTTAAATCTTTGTTTAGGTACTTTTTTTTAGCGAATTTTAAAAATTTTAAAGTTATTTTTAGAGTGTGTTTTTGTTTGCTTTTAGTTACTATTATTTTTTTTGAGTTGGCAACTCTATTTGTCAATAATTACAATATAATGAAGTAGGCTTGAGGCTTGAAAAACTATTTTTGTAAAAAATGCGGTTTTTATTCATATTTTATATTCTTATTACAGATTGATTGAAAAAAAAATGTTTAATCGTTCTAAAAAACCTGAAGAGGAAGAATGGAAATCGAGTAAACGGCGTAGAGAAAAAAGAAAACTTTCTCCTAAAGCCAGGCTGGCCAAATTCAAGTTGAGACGTCATAAAGCTAACGCCCGGGAAAGAAACCGAATGCATGGATTAAATGCAGCTCTAGATGCTCTACGCTCTCGTCTACCAGTTCGATTTCGATCTCAGAAGCTTTCAAAGATAGAGACCCTTAGATTAGCCAGAAATTACATTGCAGTCTTAACTGAAATCCTTCGAACGGGAAAAGAAATGGAACCTGTGCTGATGGCTCGTTTATTGACTGAAGGCTTATCGCGAACTACGGCCAATTCGGTAGCTAATTGTTTGCAATTAAATCCTAGATTAATAGAGAATAATGATGATTGTAATTCGTCCAATCTTTTTAATCCTTTAGAATCATCTAGATATGATCCTAATGTCTGCATTCGATTCGGTTTCCCGTGCAATAAAGAATCTTATCCGTTACTTGACTTTCTTGATTCCAGATGCGAATATTCATCGTTTGAAAGTCAAGCATCAATAAAATCTTTAATTGCTGAAACTATTTCATCAAATTTTCCGATGTCTGATGATATATCTTTCTGTCATATTGACTAGTAATTTTTTTTTTCGAATATTTTCTCTTTTTTCTGGTGTTAATATTTTAATATATTTTAGTTAATAAAAACAAAGAGATGTTTTAAAAATGTATGCAATAAGCGACATAAATTGTAATATTTCAGGTGGTTTTCTAAACATGTAATTTCATAAAATTATAACCGTTGACGAACCGTTAATTTAAAATTCAATTTTGAAATACGGAATTTCAATCTGCAGTTTAATGGGAAGTTTATTAAACGTTTTATTACAATTACTGAATTGTTATTTTTATTCGTTATCCAAATTAAAACCATATTTCAAAAAAGTATCCTGACATTTTTTAAATGAAGTTTAAGCTTCAACACTATCTTATCGCCCACTTTCAAAAAAAGAGCAGAGTAAACATCATAAACAATTGCATTAGATTTTAGAGATCAGATCAAACATGCTTTATGAGACTTTATCTCAGTTTAAATATTATGCAAACAGTATTTTAATTAAGAAATGGGATCCAACTAGGTATATAGGGATAGTTAAGTAAGAATACTAGTGAAAAATATTTCTTTAAAAAACATCATATCGATTATTAATTGTTTATTCAGTATTTACAAACGGGAATCATTCTTGAACTTCACAGTTAAAAAAATATTCCTGTTTATAATTCATTCCTTTTAATACATTTTTTATAACGCGTTTTGTTCTGAATGTATTAAGCGAGCATATTCATTAAAGACTAAAGAAGTTTTTGTATATACAGTAGAACCTCGATTATCCGGACTAATTGGGGATGAAGGTTGTCCAGATAAGGAAAAATCCGGATAATCGAAACAAATACTTTTAATGATAATACAACACGTTTTCTTTTCGATGACATATCGGTAATATTAAAAGTAAATACTGTATTTAAATCGTGATCAAATTTTCAAGAAACAAACGTTCGTATTGAATTTGGACTACTACTGACCAACGCTAACAGACTACCTATTGTTTAAAAGGCCCTCTGGTGGCGCAAGAAGACGGATTTTATAAAATAAAAAGCAGTTGAAACTGCATTTTTATGAATAAAAATTTGACAAACTATTTATCGTTTTATGACGAGTAAAATTTTTTCGTCGCGTTCACGGCTTTTAAGTAATGCATAATCCTTCGAGGCGCGAGGCCCTTCGGACCGCGAGGCATAGGCGGTGGCTCACGTAGTCCATGCCTTACGCCGCCCTTGGTCATAGAAATGATGTAATATAAATAATTTGAATACAAATTATTTATAAATACATATGTCAAGTTATATTTTTATTACTACATAAAATATATTTAAGAGTTTACGACCACTGTGCTGGGTGAGAAGTTGTTGAAACAAAAAAAGTTATGCATTCCATCACGTACATAAACAGTGTCGTAATTCGCCAAGTGCAAATCAGCAAATTCGTAAAATTTTTGTTTATTTTGAACAATCCGAATAATCGAAAATCCGGATAATGGAGGTTCTACTGTACATCACTGATACAGGCTAGGCCCACAATATAACGACTGTATGGTAAAGATATGATCAAACATATCCGAGTCAACCCATCCATGAAATTCAAATACTGTAACCAGAAGTCAAATTCCAGGTCCACAAAATGGTAGCTTGTGGCCCCGATTCAAGTTTGTCTTTATCATCCCATCCACAGATATATCAATTTCAAGACACAACTAAGTAGGAGAATTGTTAAGTCAGAATGGCACTAGTCGATGTTGTTTGTGAGAATAGACAAACTCAAATGAAAATAAGAGCGAATTTTTACCCTTTTTTAATGAGAAAAAGTATATATCTCCCAAAGAATAAGACAAAGACTAACTTTCTTTCCTTAAAACTAAATTTATCTTCTCGTACGGGCTTACAATTTCGAACTTCTAGCAAGTACAATTTACATAGTCGTGATTACATCGAGATATCCCTGAGCATAAATTCTTAAGTTCTTCGGACTCCAGAAAGATGTTTCAAACTCAAATTGAGCAGGATTTTATTATTATTGGGATATGGAAATGGAAACAGCTTAAGTTAAATGCATCAATTGCCGACGGCGATCGAATAGCTGAAGATTTTTGCGTAATTATCTTATTTTGTACGAAATATAGCGGACTTATAAGTTTGAATTAGCTATAAAGTTTTTGTGAAGTTAATAACATTAAATATCATTTGCTAATGCAAAATATTGAAATATGGCTGTTTATAGTTAAGAAGTGTAGTATGTTCAACATGTTAGATTTAATAGGTAAGCTAAGGATACTTGTTAAATTCTTATTTTAAAACTCAAGCATGCTGCTGGAATAAGAAAATACTTCAAAAATACTATTTTGAACATTATTTAACCACCACTTGGCGGTCATGTTAATTGTTATTTTAATTCAGGCAACGAGAAATTAGTTTTTCGTTTGCCTAGTACCTGATTCAAAATTGTCAAATGCTGGTATCATATTATAGTAAATACGTTAGTCAAAAATGTAAGATATCTCTTTTTTCTTTTTAATTCAAATTTATATACCAGTAACTGAGAGATTCTACACTTAAATGTTAAAAAATTAATTTTATCATTATATCAGTTATAAATACAAGAATTTGCTTACATTATTTCTACAAAAACTTTTTACAACATACATACATATCGAATGCGTTGTTTTGTTTAAATTTATATACAGGGTGTATCAGAATGACGTTTTAAAAATTTGGGGAATTGTAGATGATGAAATTTTGAACGTTTTGATATAAGGAAGCCATAGCCGGAAATGTGATACAGTATGACATACAGTAGACATGTGATCGTCGTTTATCCGAAAGCATTCCAGTCGGCAAATTTAAATTTTCGCTAGTGCTGTGGCGCTGCAATCTTCGGCTATTTCTCGGGCTACTCAAATATTTTACGTTTTTGATACTAAATTAACATCCGAAGTATAATTTTTTATTGTTTTTACATTTTTCAATAAATTTATTTTGTTTGTACAAAATAAAAAAATAATTTTTAACGACACAATAGTCTTCGTTAGGCTTAACATCGACGAAAATTCAACGCGAAGCGACACGCAACGGAGAGAAATTTCAACATGGGATAAATTAATTAATATATTTTTTCGTACATGATTCGTTATCCGAACCACCCCAGTCCCCAATTGATTCGGATAAACGACGCTCTACTGTATAAAGTTTCTACAGCACTTTGCACTTTGCGGTCGGTATGCTGAATGAAACAGCAGAATACAGTATTTATGACAAGTTTTATTGACAAAACAGTAGAGTACAATCAAACTGTACATGGAATCAGTGGCTGCACTACTGTAGAGTAAATGTTCAATGTGACGACCACCAACTTCGTTACATAATGTGCAACGACGAACCATGTTTTGTCCGTTTGTCCGACTCTCTGTAAGATGCCACGCTCCCCTCTGATGGTATTAAATGCTGTAAAGATGCACTCCGTAAACTCATGAACTGTTCCTACAGGTGTTGCGTACACAAGAGACTTTACATAACCACAGAGGAAGAAGTCAAGAACAATAACATGACGTCAATGGACGGAAGGGTAGCTACCAAAGTGTAGAGCGGTCAAGCGCTTCCTACCGCTGTAGAAACTTTATATCACATTTCCGGCTATGGGTTCCTTATATCAACATGTTCAAAATTTCATCCTCTACAATCCCCCAAATTTTTAAAACGTCATTCTGATACACCCTTCATATAATAATTTTATATAAATTTGCAACCTCGTTACATTGACATTTCTTTTAAGTGTAATAATAGGAAATGTGCACAAAATCCTGAGACTAAGGTACAACGAAAAGATTGAAATTATACAATTGATCCGCTACAGGCGATTAATAATCCCAGTATTTTTAAAGTACCTGAAATTTTTATTATTTAATGTCGTGCTTAGCCTAATTATATCTTTAAGTTGAGTCATATATTGCATGAAACTATTAATTTATTCAACATTACAAATAAATGCATATATAGTCTCTCATATTAATTCACTAAAACGTTATTAGAATTTATAGTTTGACAAAACAATTATTTTTTCCTCAGAAATATTGCCAAGAATTTACTTTTCTGGAGAATTCTAACGGTTTTAATCCAAAAATTCATTATTAATAGAAATCATTATTCAGTTAATTTCACTAGCATCATTCTAATAAATTTATCATCATCTACTTTATTGCGATTCTTTTCCCAATGCTGCAGTGTAAAAATTCAAAACATTCATATTTTAAAGGTTCGAATTATTAAGCTAATTAAACTAAAAATTGAATTAGGCTACGATACAAACTCATATACGCAAAAACTAATTAATTAATAACGAGCAATTATTTATTGTGACATCGTCACAATGTCGAGCTGCAATTTTTAATGTACTGTATTTAATTTAAAATATATGCTCTCCACATCAAATTAGTAGTGTTTTGCCCCTGTATATTATACTTTCCTGCTATCAATGTTAATTGTGCCGGTCATTAACTCCTTATAGGAGAAAATGTTTTAATTGAAATAACGTGAATTTTGGTCCAAACCGGAGGTTCGTATATAGTTAATCAGGGTATCCTTCTCACAAGCTTTCCATATCTGGTCTCGACTTTCATCTACCTAATTCCGTTCTCAAAATTAAGGAAGAACAGACAGACAGACAATAGTGGGAATTTATACTGACAATTTTTTCAAATTGCAGCTCAATTAAGAACGAATTATCTTCATTGGAGACATTTTTAAAGAATTAGTTCTGTATTTTCTATCGTCTTAATCAGATTTTGAAACTTTTCTTTTGTATATGGAGATAGCGCTTCAATGTAATAATGATGATGATGAGACTCCTTATAAACAGTTTTAAGATGGTAACGAATATAAATAAAAGTACAGACTAAGCAGATTTTTCGCTTTGTGATCCAGAGTCTAATAATGCCACTGGTAAACTTAATTTATATTACGGTACTGTACAGTACATATGATTAGAATTAAAATAATAAGCAAAACGATGCTGTTTAAAGGTCTCTCTAATTTTTTACATTATTCGATATTCAATCTTATATAATTTTTATTGTAATTTTATGTTAGTTTACAACAAATACAGAAAAGTAAATTAGCGTAAAAATATG